GCCCCTCCAGCCACCGGCAAAAAGCGGTCTGATTTTATAGCGGGGCAAGAAGGTGGGTTGAGCGGCTGAGGAGCACTTTTTCAATTGTAAGTTCTCGTAAATGAGAAGTTAATTGCTAAGCTATGAAAACTCGTCGGGAAAACTCTACTTCATAAAGTGCATGGGAAAACAGGTACCGTCCCAATCCAGCATTGCTTTGGCAATATTATGCACGGAGTAAGTCAGGAGCCGCTTTATTTTCGAGCATGCATAAAGCGAGTGGTATCGCTTTTCAGTAGCACCTTGTGACTGGAACCAGCTCAGCTACGGAGTGCAGCAGTTAGTGTATCTTGATGGGAACCCAGGAGCCTTGAAGCTGCTCCTGGTTCTCTCTGCCTTTTTAACCCCCTCCACTGTTTTACAAAATGATGTTTGACATTTTAATCTGTTATTCCATAGTTAAGTGAAGCAGATCTAAATGACAGCCAATCCCATTAATTTAGGTGCATTTCCAAAGGCTTTTATTAAAATCCTTCTTGATGTAAAAGCATTTCAGAAAATTGTCATATTGAGAAGTAGGGTATTGCCATATTTTTAAAAATAGAAGCAGATTTGCAGCTTGTCACAGGCAGTAGCCAGTGAAAGACCCCACTCTCAGCATGTGAAACTTCCACCTTCTTATAGTCAGAAATCTTTGTAGTGGGGTTAGGGTTTCATGCCAGGTATGTAAGCCATCATTAATTGTCTTGAAATGTGCTGAACAGCAGTGAGGCAGTGTTGAAATTTATACTTATTATGGTTAACTGTGCCCAGAGGAGAACCTTGGAGGGTCTCAAACAGCTTGTGTGACATGGCAGCAGAATTAAGGGAAAGAAAGGATCTTTTATTTTGAGTTCCATTCTCTCTGGTGCCACTAATTTCATTCCTCCATGCTGCTGCCTCCTCTTAGGGCTTCCCGTCATGTTTTTGGGCAGACCCCCAAAGAGTGGTTTGCCACTCTCTCAAGGTGTAGCTGATTCCTTGTTAGCATTCATAGGAGGGTGATCAGCTCCCTTCCGAAAACCACAGAAAGCAGGTGGGGGAGAGAATTCCTAGCCCATCTCACGAGTGGGCTCGGTTTGTCCCGGTGGGTATGCATGCTCGTGCTCAGAGGCATGCCTGACTCCACACTCTCACTGCATGGATTGAAACCAGCTGCTTGTACCTTTCAACTTTGGCAGTCCTTTTCTATCCATTTGTTTTCAAGTTTGCCTTTCCAGGGAGAGGAACAAAAAGATGAGATTCTTCTAAAAATGAAGTCTGAAATCCTTGTGGATCTCTTTTTTGTGTTCCTTCCAAACAATCAATTGTATCTGTAAGTTCTAAGAGCTCTCTCGCTCTGCCAACTCTACTAAGGATGTAAAATGAGTTTTCATAACCCTGCTGCTCTTCTGCTAGCCACGTTTGCTAGCATGTGTGTAATTTATGCTAAAGGATGGATCCGGTCATGTACTGCATCTACATGCTGGTTAGTGAAGATATCCCAAGAGAGGGTTTGATAACGTGGTGCCAAAGGATCCAGTTGAGGAAATGTGCTTTATAGAACGCTACTAGCAAACCAATTTGAGCATTCATTTAAATATGCAAATTTCAAATATTTCAATAAGTGTTTTCCCTAAGGTTAGACAGACGTTTGCCAGTGTTGAGTCATTACTTTTATAATATTTCTCCTGTATTTTTAAGTGTTTGACTCTAGCAGAGATTAATTAGTCTCACAGGAGTTGATATAAAATTAGCCAATAGACCTAGAAGGACTGGACAAAATGTATAGCTCTCTCTTCTGCTGTCAAAGACTTAAGTACTGTATTGTGGTGCTCCGGCTGAGAAGACTCAGCTGTATTTTATGAATGATTATTACCTGCAAAATGCTGTTGTACAGAGTAGTTGTACAGAGTTGCATTTCAGTCTCTTGCCTGGGCGATTGCTTTGCTCTCTGTGCACTGAATGTGATGAAATACCCAGCCTTTTGCCTTTGCTGTCTGGGTTGCTGATTTTGGTAGAAGCTGTGATTGTCCTGGGGTGCTGTAAATCTGAACTGAATGAACTGAATGAAAGAGAAGTCCTTTGGCCAAGTCCATCTCAGATACGTGTTTCTTAGTTGTTTGACAACAGTATTACAAGTGCATGCAAATCAAAGGCCTGGTTCTTTTTGTATTGTGTCCTGAAAACTCTCAGTAGAGTCGTGGGATCCTTGGACACAATACAAGTGTAGACTTGAATCTGTATTTTGGATTATCTGTGTTTCAATGGTTTCATGAGATGGAAGGGAAAAACCTCTTAATTTTTCTTTTTTGGAAATATCATTAGTGTCTAGATGAATGGATGCTCCGGAATGAGCAATGGAAGCAGCATAAACCCAGGCTCTAATAGAGTTTCCCACATGGCTGTGGGTAGGTCTGTGTGCCCATGTGATTGTCCTGTGAGCGCTCTTCAGTCCTCTCCTGCTTGTAGCATATGGAAACACTGGATTGGTAGGATGGCCCCATCACCTTAGTTACTGATGGCAGCTTTGAGGACATGCTGGGTAGAAAAGACTTGTTTGCAAAGGTCCACCACTTTTTGGCCTGGGAAACTACACTTAGTGGTACAATCACAGGCTTGAATGTAAGGCACAATGTGCTGTCATGTGCCTTTGCTGTCTGCCTGGTGTTGGGGTTCTTCTCCCATGGGAGCTCTACAGAATTGTGCTGGTGTGGGAGAAAAATATGGCCCAGCTATGATAGGCCTATGCAATGGCAGTGGTGTAGAATGACTGAATGTGCCCTTATGTTTAAATAATGCTTTTGCAGAGTCATTTATCAGGCTTTATTGGAAGGGTATAATATATATACTGCTTTAATAGCAGTTGGTTGAAATAGGAGATTATCAAGAAACCTAGTGGAATGGTTTATTGAGTTTGGAGTTGTCATGGGTTTAGCAACATTGAGGAAAACCCCAGTATGTTGTTTCAGTGCCATAAAGGAGGTAGCTGACATACGTATGAGTATAATGTTAGACTCTTGGCTGATGCATGGTGCAAAAATTAAAAGAAAAATTTGAAACAGCTTTCACTATGCCTTCAGGGTTATTTTTTCGTTAGGCCTGTCTTTCTTTGTTATCTGTGCCAGAAGGGAAAGTTGAGTCTTATTTATATAATACATCTTCTGAGAAGTCAGTGAAGTGAGAAGGAGGTTATGAACATCATATTACTTACCTGGCTTTTTAGCATTTTAAAATTGGTGCCCTGCGAATGCCATCAAAATTGTTCTTAAGGTGTTCACTGGGAATTTGTCTGAAAATTTTGATGCTGGATCCTCATTCTAATTGAAATGTGAACAAAAGCATCTGAACTTATGAAGCAGAAATAGGTTGAAAAGCTTTTTGTTGAGGTACATCCTCAGAAGAGCGGAATTTTAGAGATCTACTTGAAACTATTTGAGTAACTCAATTTGAAGACTAGATATTTCTATGTTAGAAACTTAGCAATAATTCCCTTTAAAAAAAGTTGCTAAAAGATTATCAGTTGCAATAAAATCTAGATGATATTTTGATAGAATCGTAGAATAGTTTTTGTTGGAAAGGACCTTTAAAGATTATCTAGTCCAACTCCCCTCCCAGGGGCAGGGACATCTTTCACCATATCAGGTTGCTTAAGTTGTCCCTGCCAATGCCAGGGATTTGGACTAGATGATCTCTAAGATGATCTTCATATTGTTAATTTTTGGTTTCATATTATTTATTTTAGGTAGGACAACTTGGGTTCATTTTAAAGTATCCATTTGGAAATAGCAAAGAGTATATAATCTCCAATGCGTGGCTTCACACTACATTCTTCTTTGGCCATTATTATATTTAAATTGCTGTTGAAACTCGATTATTTTTCAGTTTTTGATCTTCTTCCATATTCCAACAAGAGAGTGGTAACCAACTTCTTGCAACAAGCACTTGGCGATCCTACACTGAATGAAGTATACTTGCTCTTGACATTCAAACTGCAGCCAAAGAGCACAGCCACCATATTTGGCCTGTATTCGTCAGCTGACAACAGCAAGTATTTTGAATTTACGGTAATGGGACGGATGAATAAAGGTAAGTTGTTTGAAGTATGTAGGGGAAAACTAGTGTTGGATCCATAGTTATTGGTGTGTCACAGATGGATGTTGAAAACTGTGTGATTAACCTTTGTGCTTGAGTCATTCCTGTTGGCCCCCTCTCACAAGGTAAAGTGTTAGTTACATCCCCTCTCACTTCCCGTCTCTTTCCTTCCTCTGGCAGGATGCTGCTGTCTCTTGGCTGGGGAAGCTGATCTGACAATCAGCTGGTATCTCCACTCTGCCATGGTGCTTGCTCTGAGCAATGCTGAGAAAGGAGGAAAAAAAAAATGGAATATGGATAAAGGAATCAATTTGGTTTGGTGGCTTTTTTTCCTTTTTTTCTTTTTTCTTTTTCCCCTTGGGACAATCACTGGTTCTTATTACTCAGGAATGTGAGGGACACACGCACATGCTGCCTCATGCATATGAAAGACAGGTTCTTGTTCTGCTGACCCTGGAGGTTAGATGTGACTAGGCAAGACAAACATTCCTAGCACTTACAGGATTTTTTGGGTGAAGTAAAGTGTTTGTTCTCTGTTTATTGAAACTAGTTAATCAGGAGTCAGAGTAAGAACTTCAGCAGACTTTTAGAAATGGAGAGTCATTGCTCTCTAGACAACATCTAGGATATATTGCAGTTTTAAGGTTCAGTGAAAAATTGTTGAATGGCGTAAATTATTGTTGCTCCATTGATTTCACCACTGCTATGATAATTTGCTGCTGCAAATGTTGTAATCGGGCGCCTGAGTCCAATATACTGAGAAACTCTACTGAGAAATTTCAGAACAGGAGAGTTCCTCTATATGCTGAAGAAAAGCACACCTTTTGCTTGAGAAATGTAGGGGAATGAGTTAGATAAAACATTGGTAGTTTTACCAGGTCTGCCAAAATCCCTCTTAGGTCAGGGAATAAGAACTTTTGTGCTGTGTGTGTTGGGGGTGGGTAAGACATGGTCACCCAGCCTTATCAGTGTCATACAATTCCTAACACTGACTTACCTAATTGCTAAACAAATGATACACACACACTTAGTCTCTCCCTCTCACATACACAGTTACGCATGTAAATGTTATATATGTATATAGGAATGCATATGTATGCACACAGATATGTCTATATGCATAGAATTTTGAACATATCAAATTCTTCTCTTGGTTTTCAAGAATACCTACATGCCTGATGGTTACTAATATGTTTTAACTAAGAGACGTAAGAAGCTTTCTGCTGGAAGGTTACGTGGCTTCTTTTGGTTTTGTCCTCAGTATGTTAGTGTTGTATTTGAGAAGTGTCTGTGACAGGATGGTGACATGTTAGACAGGCAGCATGAAGAAACTTGTCCTGTCAGTGACCAGAGTTGAGTATATGGGGGATATCTGTAACCTACCCATTGTAAAGGACCTATCAAACAGAGGGAGACTTTTTGCTGCAAGGCTGTTCCATGGAGGTCTCTGCTTCATGACTTCAGTGCACCTTGTATAAGGCATATAGCAGCATGTGAGTAGTAGGCAACTTTTTCACATGTGATCTCTCTGGAATTGTCAAGTGTCCCACATGGCTATTTCATACAGTAAGTTAAACTGCATCCAGGAGATCGTCATGCAAGCTGAAAGTCTGGAGTGTGGGGGCTGTTTCTGATCCTCTCAAGACTGGAGGTGATCACTTAAGTGGTGAGCCAACATTGGCATGTTAGCAAAATGCAGGGTCTAAATATCTACAGTTTTGGAAGGGCGCATATGTGTGTATTACTTCCTCTGCATTCTGTTTCCACTTACGCACCCAAATCTGATCTGAATAGCCCAAAGCAGGCCTTGGTTATCCTTTCAAGTACCACATCTGAGAGCTGTGTTCGGAATTGTTTGCTTGTGTTCAGTTTTTGTTGTGGTATACCTGAAAGTAAAATGTTCATAATACCTAAATGTTTTTAAAGCATAGATATGAATTCCTGGGCAACTGCTCAGCTTGTTTTGGTTAGACCAATGTACTTTTCAGAGGCAAATAGCATCCATGGTTTCTTAGCCTTTTTGAACAATTTGCTTACGGAGCAAACAGCAGTTAAGTGCATAAAAGTGATGTAACTTAAAAATTCTGTGAAGTTCTGAAGTTCCTATTTACTGGCAGGATTAGTAGTTTCATTGAGAATATGTTTCTTTAAGCAGTACACATGAGCTACTTACTCTCATGAATGTCAGTGTACAATATCCTAGCAGCAAATACGTAACGCAGGGGCTTGGATGAGTTAAATCTTACAGAGGCAGAGGATGTAGTCCAGCAAAATCTCCCTTCAAAAGCCTATGCTGGTTTACCAGATGGATATTTGGCTTTGGCTGAGGAAGGAATGCTTGATCCTCCTTCCAAGCCAGACTGCTCCTTGTCCTGAAACTATTCTGGCAGGGTCCGTTCTGGGCCCTGCCACCATCTCCTCTTTCTTTCTCTAGCTTACTGCTGAGTTTATTCACTCTGAATGCAGGGCCCAGATCCAAAGACTTTGCTTTCATGTGACTAGGAGTGCATAATATTCACATAAATAAAACGACTGCAAGGTATTCTCTCTTGCCAGATCTTTGAGTTTGCCAAGAAATGCTACCTTTTAGCAGGTTACTGGTGAACTCATGCACCTTTGTGGAAATCTCAGCTCTGGCAGTGTTTTGACATAGACAGCCATGAAGACATTCTTGATATTGATCACAGCTGCTGATACTTAGCACTAGTGTAGACTTTAAAGATGGATACATACCCTGCCTCATTCATGCTGGTATAAATCTGGATTCTTTTAATTGTTAAAATTAGCAATTAGAAAAATAGTAGGGAGCATGTACCCAGTAACTCAGAAGGTCACTGGAAAATGGAGGTGTTACAGCATCAAAGAGGGTACGTTAGTAGTGGAGAGATGGGAAGATAATTTGTTAAATGAATAGAAATGGGGTGATTTCACCAGGTGTTATTAGCTCTGAAGCTAGTACAAGCTTTTCCCTCCACTATATCCACCATTTTCAGTTGACTTCATGTTAATGTAGGTGTTTCTTGAAGGTCAGAATATTTGTGAGCTCTCACTTGATGCAACAGTAGAAACCCTCTGAACTTAACTGTTTAGGTGCCCAGCGTCTGTGCAGCTGGACTTCTCAATGCATCTAACTGTTATCATGAGGAAATGAGGGATGTGCAGGCTGGTGGTCAGTGGGATCTTTGAAACAAGGTCTGTCTAATATTGTAGAGTAGTTATACACTTAGCTCATTGCTTCTGTAGATATGCATTCGGAGAGCCAGGGAGAGATTTTGTGGCGAGAACTAGCTAGCTCATCTAAGAGATTTAGCTTGCAGATCCTAGCTTACCAATCCAATTTCCTTAGGAAAGAGACATTTTTTAAATATTACACAGCATGTAAGAGTTTTTGTTTGTCTGCTGTTGTGTTTTTTGGTGGTGCATTTTAATTCATTAAATGAGAATTTGTTGTGTGAATTACCAAGTAAGTCATTCACTAATGCTTTAAAGAGTTTAGAGGGGGCTTAGTCATCTTTAGGCTGGAGGATGTCTTTTCTGCATTGTATTTTCTTTTTACTTACTATTTGTTACAGAGAAATGCAGATTATTAGCTTGGAATCATGCTTCCTTTGGTTTCTTTAATGATGCATTTGGATACACTGTCAGATGTCTTCACTGAATGCAATATGCATCACTGAAACTGATTTTTCTAGCTGTACTTTTCTGCTACAGAGTATTTCTAGGTCTATCGGATATGTACTTGCCAAAGTGCCGACTTCAGGCTGTCTGCTACACCTTTTACCTTTACCACTTGTATTTTAGCACTTCATGCCCTGTAAGGGGATGTTGGTTAAGCCAATTAGGGAGGCCTCGACAAAGCAGCAGAAAACACTGCAGGAAGCAGTGCTTTACAAATGGAGAGTCACGCAGGAGTCCTGGTAATCCTGGTCTGACAGTCAGTGTCCCATTTGTTATTATCATTTATATCTGCATATGGGATTCATTTACAAAAGCTGACATGTGGAAAAATACCAGAGCAATTGCAGATTTCCGCAGGATCTTCCTTGATCAGCCTTGGGTTATCTGCTACCCTCTGATAGTCCTTCTGTGTATTTTGTACTAGTGGTGCTGCGCTACCTGAAGAGCGACGGGAGAATGAATTCAGTGATCTTTAGCAACATCCAGCTGGCTGATGGGAAACCTCATGCTGTCCTCTTGTGGCTGAGTGGCCTGCAGCAGGGATCGACCGCAATAGAGTTGTATCTGGACTGCCTGCAAGTAGGTGCCGTTCAGGACCTGCCAAAAGCATTTTCAGCGCTGTCTCAGAGGTCGGCGGCAGTAGAGTTGCGCACCTTCCAGGATAAGTCACAGGTGAGAAGGAAAACTTAAGGCTGAGCGCTTAAGAGGGATCACCAGCGATCCTCTGGATCACTGAATCCAGACTTCAGCCCCTGCAGCAGCCAAGCTCTGTACAATTGTGCTTCAGTAATACTTGAGTATTAACTTGTGAAACAAATATGAGTTCCCTGTGGAACAGGTGAAATCTTAGCTTCATTGAACCCAGTAATACTTACCCTATTAATTGTAAACATGATTTTTAGCTTATTAAAATGAATATTACCTCCCTCGCATCAGTCTAAGTGTTTCTTGGGGACTGGACTTTTTGCAAGGACTTAGCTGATGCACTAAGGGCAGATCTTCGTCAGTTTCTTACAGCTGTTCAGTATGAGCAACCCTTGGCTGTTGGGTTGTTGTAAGGGCTTTCCTTTTCATGATAAGCCACATGGACTAATAAGACAAAAGAGGGGGACTCAGGTGATGCGAGAGTCCAACCCCCATCTGTTTGACTGCAATAGCTTTTCTTCCTTTGTCTGCCAACCAGGGGTTGGCATAGCTTCCTGTCATCTCCGTGTCAGCAGTCCAAGGTAAACAGTATCTTCCACAACCATCTTCCATCATCAGTAATACAAAATATGCCTTAGAGGGTGCAAAGGCTTTCTGCCCCTAACATTGCCCCCTGCTCTGTTTCATTACAGGCTTGAAAATGAGCCTGTTTACATGGAGAATCACCAAGGTGCCCACATTCCTGACTGAATGTAAACCTGTTTGAGAGGAGGGAAGAAAAAATTGTTTAGGATTCAGTTAAAAAGAAAAAAAATCTTGTGTGCTGTGGATATAAAAATATATGAACTTCCTTGTATGTGAGATCATATGAATTGGAATGGTAAAAAAAAAGTTCAAAATAAAACCACAGCTATGTGAAAATCTGCAAGGCAAAGATTAGAGATTTTATTACAGTTCAGATGGTGATGGGTGGTCCTGAAGTGGACGGTGTAGGAGCCTTGCACGCTTAGGAAATGGGCAGCCTCTCTAAAAAATTAATTTGCTTTGTCTGCTATTTCACATTTTTTCCATTGTTGTACCAGAATTGTGAGCTCTGTTTTTCCTGTGAGTCCAGGATACGCTAGATGAGCTGAAGCTGGTAACTGGAGGAACACTTGCCCAAGTGGGGAACCTGCAGGACTGTTTTCTTCAACAAATTGAACCTGTTGCTCAGTACACTGGTAAGGCCTGCAACCAAGAGTTAAAATTTCTCCTTAGGATACCAGTGCAAAGAAGTTAATGTGATGAATATTAAAAATGTGGAGAAACTCTGTAGAGAAGTAATAGCAATTGTTTGACGGAATTAACAGCCATGATAACTTACTGTAAATGTTTTAGAAATACTTCAATTTGGAGATAAAATAGTCACTGCTGCTGCTGATAAAGCAATGAGTTGTTGTCCTAGTGAGGGAGGAGTCTGTAATGATTAAAAGAAGCTTTTTAGACTAATTTGGAAGACAAACTTTCATGATCATGATCTGTTTGTGTCAGCTTGATAATATTTTAAGTATTCAAATTGCAGACAATTGCAGACAGGAAGTAGTCCTAAATGTGATACCTGCTACAGGCTTTATGAAAACAGGTAGATGGGTAGAGTAGCAAGACCTACCTTGTACTTACCCACATTGTCAGTATTTATCTTTCGTTGATCACTGGAGTGTCCTGGAGAGGGGACAAACAAGGTGTGAAGTAGGTCACTGCAGAGCATCTTGGTGCTATGGCTACAGAGCCTTGCAGGTCCACCTGGGAAAAGCCATTGCAAGGCAGCCATTAGTTTTGCTGCAAGTTAGCAGAGGCTTTTGCCACCTGCTGGACCAGAAGTCTGCTCCAGAAACACTTCCTTCTCTGCCTGTTCTGAGCATTGTGGAAACTGAGCTGGGAACAGTGAGGGAAGAAAGGAGCTGAGGCTACTCGGATTCCTGCAAATCCCTAGGGGCGGGGTGCAATCCCCTGTGATGGGCAAACATGCTCTCTAACCTTTCACCACAGCAAACCTGGACTAGACTGCCCCATCTGTACCCTTTCCTAGTCCCTGTCTATCCGCCTTTCTGCTGCGGGCGTGAGGGAGAAGAATGGATTCACACTGTGCTTGCAGTATGTTAATATTACTGTGACAACCATGGGAGGGAAAATGAGGTCAAGGTTTCAAATAAATTCCATGAGAAGTTCTTTCTCTCCCACCCTTTCATGTCCCCACTGCCAAACCCAGCCCTGCAGCTTCGCTACTTTTGATTAGAATACAGACAAGATACGCACATTTTATGAGAGCATCCTGGGTGCATTACATGAATGTAGGCATCAGTGGTGTGCTGTGATAACAGAGTCTGTTCTGCCTTTTAGCTAGGTAAATCCTCAGTTGCACATGCTTCTGTTTTCTTGCTCTTTAGCATATGTCCACCTAGGCAAAAAATACATTTTTATCATCACAGGTCTCTCTCCCTAAATCAACAAGTGTTTGCACATAGAAGGGTGGGCTAATTCAGTGTTTTCTCATGGAAAAACTCAGAACTCTGTGAGCAAGGTTTCCAGGTTGCAGACTTGCAGCTTTCTCATTTATAACTTTATGCTCGTTAATTGATAACAAATGGTAGTAATACAGAGAGATGTTGTCTTTCCCTGGCAGCCTCTGCCTGGCTGAGCCTCCCAAATTCAGTTGCTTATAACCTCCAAGTAGAATTAGTATCACATTAATAATAAAAAAACAACTCACATGAATATATTCAAAGTCTACATAGTCAAACCCACCAAAGGAAAAGGTGCAAATGTTCCAACAGCAATATTAACTCAGCTGCCTTGCACTTTGTGTATACTTCATGACAGCCTTTTACAGGAGCAATATATCAGATAACCACAATTTTGCTTTCAGCTAGAAAAAGCTGGAATGCAAGTGCTTAGCTGTATAGGGGTGCAAGACCTATGTATCTTGGTAAAAGTATGTGCTTTCATATTAATTGGAAAACCCTTGGGAGAGCTTTGGACCTGAATAACTGTACATGGCTTTGACTGCGTGCCTGGTCATTGCTCACTGCTTTGGCAGCAGCATTCCCTCTGTATTCAGTCTGTGAGGTTGAGACACCTAAGCAATGTAGATGAGAATGAGATGATCAGACAGAGGTTGAACACATGTATTTGGATCTTCCTATGTGGGTAGGAAAATACTGTGCAATACACACTGGGTTTAGTAGATGAGATTAGTATGCTGCATGTAATCGTCACAAAACCATTCAGGTTAGAAGGGATATTTGGAGGTCATCTAGCTAATGTAGGGTACCTGAACCTGACATAGAGTAATAAAAACAGCTGTGTTGCACCAGACCAAATTTTCTTTTAACCTAGATACTGTTAGAGACAGCATGCCAACATAGACCCAAGGGCAAGAGTATAAGAGTGGAGTTATAGTGTGGTTTTCCCTGAATGCTTTCCTATTCTCCAGCAGCTTACGGTATACAGAGCTCTCAGCTCAGTGGTGTAGTCTTTGTGTTACGTGAATCTGTCCAGTCAGTTTTGAATGCATGCTCAAGAATGTCTCCTGGCAAGAAGTCCATCATATGTCTAAGGAAATATCTCCTTCTGTTTACTTTGAACCTGCCTCTTAGAGGTCCTTTCCAACCTTAATGATTCTATGATTCTTTGTAATTCCATGTGCAACTTGTATATGCACCTTCCTTGGTGGTGGATTATAGGCTGACAGGAAAATGTTGTCTTGTCAACCATCATCCATACTTCAGTCATGGCTGGATCCCTGGCCATGTAACCACTATCTCTTTGCATGACACTTAGGACTCTGACCTTTCCAGATGGGGGCAAGTGGGGTGCTTAAGCCAGTATTGCTCCCAACAGAGCTAGAAGGTGTATGTGTTTCACAGTGGCTTACAGTTATACAAGCTAGTGTTTGTGAGTTGCCCTGCCTGGGTCAATTAGCTGTGCAATGAAGCTGGTCACCTGCTCCAAATCCAAGGCCTTGTACTGGAACATGTTGCCCAGACAAGCTGTGAATGCCCCATTGAAGTCAGGTTTGAAGGGGCTTTGACCAACCTGACCTAGTGAAAGATGTCCCTGCGATGGCAAGGGGCTTGGACTAGATGATCATTAAAGGTCTCTTCCAACCCAAACCATGCCATGATTCTATATTGCAAGGTCCTGGCAAGAGAAAGACAGAGTAGCTCCCCAACATGACCTCAGGCTTACAGAGAATAAGCATGTCAGGGGATGTCAGTTCCCTTGTGGACAGTAATTCTTCAGATCTGTCACTGAATTTAATTATTGCTGTGAAAACTATTCTGTTACTCGGGTTGTTACGGACTCCAGAGCATTGAGCTAGGCACTAGCCGAACTGGGGAGTTGCCTCAGTAGGTGGGATATGGATGAGAAAGACTACATAGCAGGACAAGATAGCTGTATAGCTTCAGGCTGAACCTTTGGCTTACCCTGCTTACTCCTGGGAAAAGCCACCCTACAATATACTGTGGCCCAAGAACTCCTTGAAAAGCCTCTTATTTGAGTTCTTACCATGGATCATCAGTCATTCTGCTGCAGGGGGGACTTGGATTTAAATGGAAGAGAAAAAAAAAAAAACCAAAAACCTGTGGGAAGTCATCAGTTTATGCTCTGGTGTCTAAATTTGCAAACAGGACATGTAGTTCCTGGCAGTATAACCTGTTCAGTCCACCTTAAAGTTTAACAGTCTGAAAAACTAAACTGTACAGAATAGATCTGGTTTTGATTTAGATGCTAGCCAACAAACAGCATCTGAAATCTTGAGAATTCTTTGCAGATCTCAATCAATAATGCCTAAACCATTCTTTGTTTAAAAAACCCAAGGAAAACAAGAACAGACCCCAGCATCTGTCCCGACAGCCTGCCTGCCAAGTTCCACTATGGGATTCTGAAATACCCATGACATTAAGTCCTGCGGTCTTCCTCACAAATAAAAAGAATACAAGGTTGGGAGTGGAACAGAAGCAGGTTCTTGAACAGGTGGTTCCCGAGTCTTTAAACTTGTCCAGTGTTTTAATGAGAAAATCTGAAATGAAGAAAACATAGTATGTGAGGAGTTGGACGATTCCCACTAGAATGTTTGGAAACAGTTAGACATGCTTTGAAGTACAAAACAATGAGGTAAACATTAAGAAAAACATTTTTCATATAAGCGTTCAATACCCACAGAAGTAACACATGGATAAGCCTCCCTGAAGCCATTGGGCATAATATCAAAATATCCTGCCTGCTTAGAACGTAAAAGAGCATGTATTTGTGAAATTTGTTTTGACATACAGACTTAGAGAAGTAAACAAATAGCTGTTTGAAAGAGCTACAAACTCAGAAGTGAGCTACAAACAGAAGCTACTATGAGCCCCTGTGCTAAACATGCTCTCCGCTTCTCCTCTGTCACTGGGTCAAAACTGATGTTTCATTCAGCAGGTAAGAGTCTCATGTGAAGATGTTGGACCAGTTCTGGTCCTTCTTTAGGGCTCATTACAGATGTAGCTTTTGGTCTTGTCTTAGAGGTCTTTAATTTGTTACTTGGTATTGAGAACTGGCTTTGGTGTGAGTTCATAGAGTGTTGAGTAGATGTTTTTGAGAGTCCGTACAAACTCTGCAACTCCCCCGCCCTGAAGCAAATGCACCCATGAAATTTGTGTAGAGTGTGATGACCTGCGTTTTGGAAGAAAAGCCAAGTGACTCTTTTGACTGTCTGACAGGTATTAAAAGTGCTGTTTTTGTCAGAGCAGGCACTCTTGATGCATGGTCAGAGCTGCACGGGGAGCTTGCTCAGAAAGCTGGGTAACTTCACTTTGAAAAGTGTGCTGGAGTTGGTTGTGGTGACATGGAATACACTTATGGAGGGTGAATTCCCATTGTATACACAGATACTTCATGCCCCTGCCTTGCCCTCCTGTCCCAAATGGGTTATAACAAAAACCCAGTCTTGAAATCCTAAGGTTTCACTTAGGGTTGCTGGTCTCAGGCATAGGGTGAACCAGTAACGCTGCCAGCATTGGCACTGAAATAATGGTAGAAAAATCAAAGGCTGCTTGTCTTTCTGTGGAAAGGTTTCTTCTTTTCCTGTTTCTGTGGTGTGCAGTGGAGTTCAGTCCGGAAAACCCTTGAGTTCGTACAAATGACTCTATAAAAATTGCAGCTAAATACTGTGTTTGCTCTAAGGATTCCTACAGGGCTTAAGTAACAGTACTGTCTGCCCTCCTTGGCACTTCACAGTGTTTCCATCTTGTATCTCAGAAATCATAATGGCAACTGAATGAGAGTTACATGCATTGTGAACTCTTTTTCATTGCTGTTTCCCCTGCAGGTGATTTTAATAGGCAGCTGATGGGTCAGATGATGCAGATGAACCAAATACTGGGAGATGTGAAAGACCTTCTCAGACAACAGGTACTGTATAAAGGCTTCACTGTGAAATATCCCAAGCTTGCCACTTTTGATAGAGTTAGGGCAGAATTCACATAACCAGGAAGCTCCTGAGTAGAGTTCATTGCCTCAGGGGCATGATAGAGTGGAGGAGAAATAACCTTATAGGTCCTGGTACCTGTGCTTGCTATGGAGGATCACTAAGTGTGGGGGACTTGCTTATTCAGGTCCAGAAAATCTAGTGTCTTAAGTGGAGAGGAACTAGAGTAGCTATCCTAGCCCACTGTTAGGTAGAAGTAGGTCTGTTGCACAGAACTGAAATAGCATTTGTTTCACTTGCTGGGGGGTGTCAGAACTGGAATTGCTAGTAGCGCATGCTTTTAGTTAAGCATGTCATTCTTAAAGGTCCTGTTGATGAAGGCTGAACTGAAGTACAACCATTATCACTGTCCTTAATTTTATGGCATACAAATATAATCTCATTTCAAGATAGAGTACCTATGTTGCATGGTTTGAGTGGCATCTACGAGAAAAATGATAATGGTGCTTCTGGCAGCCAGGTGCAAACTGGAGCTGCCTGTATCCAAATAATGTTTTATTTCCCATATTCTCAAGGTCAAAGAAACGACTTTTCTGAGAAATACCATAGCTGAGTGCCAAGCATGTGGTAAGTATTCCTGTTACTGCCTGTAAAAGGCAACCAGATGAGATGTACAGTCGTTTTAAAACTAGTATTGATTGCATCAGCTTTATGTGGTTTCTAAGAAGTACTTTTTAAAAAATAATGTCCAAAGTTCTAGATGTATTGGACACATTTAAAACAGATTTTCATTAGAGAAAAGCTTTCAGTTTCCATAGACCGGACAATCACCTGTTGGGGGATAAAACGCCACTAAACCAAGCAGTACCACTTACCCTGTACTGTCAGTTCTTACTCTGCCATGAAGCTGTGCTGCATGTTCCTGGGGAGGGAGACCTTGCCTGCTGGGTATCTCATGAACAATCTTAGTTTCTACTAGGGACAAGGGAGCAATCATGTTTTGCTCTAGCAGGTATTGTCAGTCTGAGAAAGATCCTATGCAGTCCACCTGAAACTTGTCTGATTCTGAGTACGCAGTCACTGCTTAAGAGCAGTAAGACCCAAAAGGTGGTCTCCATTTTTTCCCTAAACAGAAGAAATCGATTCTTTCCCAGATGCCACTGCATGGCCCTCCTACACAACTGATAATTAGAACACACATTCATTCAGTGTAAAAACAAAAATACTCTCTCACTGGGTGGGTCAAAAGGCCTTAAACTCATCAGGCCTTTTAGTTGATTTCTTCACCCAGTCTGTCAACCTCATTAAAACTGAAGTTGAGCTCCAACCAGGTTAACCTTTATGTGTAAGTGCCAAAGAAAAAGTCCTTAAATCCTGCATGCATCAGTACCAACATTCAGCACCTGCCAGAGTCTCAGAAGACCTTGCTTTACCCCAGGGCTGGTTTTTGTGCATCTGAGCTAGTGTACTAGCATGTCCTGCTGCATGTTCATGGGCTGCCGGCTGCTGCTTCTTTATTCCTCTTATTTGTAGACTGTCAGATATGCTCTTGCAAAACCATGGCATTGTTTTTCTTATGATGTGGTGGTGTTGCTGATTAGGCCAGAGAAATGCCTTGTACCATCACACTTCAGTCTCTTTGGCCAGCTGAGGTCGCTGGCTTTCAGTTTCCTCCCCCGGCCAGGAGCAGATCTGTGCTGAGACTAACCTAGCAGGAAGGCTCCCATGTGTAGCCAGGAGAAGCACGTGGACCTAACAAAATAGCCTTAATTTCCCGTGTCTGGGGACGCAGCAAGCTGCTGAGCCATTTCCAGCATGAAGTCTTTTCAGCCGCAGCACAGCTGGTAGCAGCGCAGTGCAGAAACACAAAGCCCCTGCTGCGCAGCGTCTTGGGGATGTCTTCAGAGCGCCTGCCAGCTGAAAGCCGTGATGGATGTTTCTTTCAATTGCTGAAACTGTTGTTCTTTCTGCATTAAAGGTTTGGGAACTGTGAATTTTCCAACTCAGCTTCCTAGGCGCAGTAAACCCAAATGCGAAGTTAATTCCTGCTTCAGGGGAGTCAGGTGTGTGGAGACAGCAGAGGGATTTCAGTGCGGCCCCTGCCCTGAAGGGCTCACGGGAAATGGAGTTACCTGCTCAGATATTGATGAGGTAAAATAGTGACTTTCACTGAATTACAAAACAAAAAGGGAGGGGGGGGGAGCTAAAAAGCAACTGTTTTGTACATATCATTGGGTTACTGATGCTTGCTGTCTTCATGATTTGCTGACTGCTTGCACAGTGAATGTTAGTTCATTCTGATTTGATTCTACCTCCCTATGTTGCTGTTGCTGCAACTTTATGGAGGCTATATGTGTGAAAACGTGAAATACCCTGGTGAGTTGAGAAGTCACTTAAAAGAATTCAGTATTTGGAAAGAAAACCAAACAAAACAGGTTTTTGATGTAGTTGTTTCTATTCCACAAGAAGATGCAGCAGCTTCTGTTATAGGCAGAAGTGCAGAAGCACTTCTTGTCAATATGGGCTTTGTTTCTTTAAATTGTAGCGCTCCTCATCACGCCTTGGAGACCAAAGTCTTCTCTTCAACCCAAAGTGGAGCCGTGTTTTCAACCTTACCTTAAAAGTCTATGAAAGAAAATAAACATTTATTGTTATTGTTCCTTTTGCTTCATTATGGTTGTGTTGAAAGCTGCTAATGTTGACTTAAATCTATTTTTTTTCTTGTACTGTATGTTAGAAATTCAGAGCTTGCTTGTATTGAGGACTGAGTTAATAAATTTACAATATCTTAAATGATTAAATAAAACCTGTTTTAATTGGAATGTGACACTTACTCAGAACACAAACAACAAAACCACTTACAGCTTCACTGCATTTTTTCTGTGTGATGATTTTTGCCCTTACCCTTTAGTGACTTTTTTTTTGTGTGTGTGTGTGTATGGAAAAGCACCTGGATGTAGTAGACCAGGGAACCAGGAGAATTAGGTCATTAACTGTGCCTGTGGATAACACAGTGCTACCAGTATACCTGCCTAATGATGTAAAACAGCAAAAGCAATTCCTTTTTTTCTCCTTCCTAGCAACCTATCTTTGACTGGTTTTTGGTTTACTCCCTCCTATAGGCCATCAGCAGAGAGGATGCGATGTGCCCACTTATATCTGTCTGTGAAAAACACGGGGGAGAGAAAGTAGGTTGAGTGTGGCAGTTTCCGGAGTTGCAGGTGATGTCTTTTGTTTTGCCTCACATGGCATGGACTGTGCCTGCCGGGACAGTAGGTGCAAAAAATGGAGGTGAACTCTGAATTGTGAATGCAAGAGGTGAAGCTGAGACAGCTGTGGTGTGAGTTTCATGCCCCAGACAGCCATGGTGAGAGACTCTAGCCAACCTAGGTGGAGCCCACCAGTACGGATGGGTTCCACCTCCTGAGCCATACCCAGACTGAGGCAGAGCCTACCAATAATCTCCTCCCTGTCATTTTCAGGGCTGGAGCAACTCTAGCTGTGACAGCAGTGGATAGAAAACCAACTGAGACTGGTCTGTAGTGGCCCGATATTAACAAGTTTTCTGTGAGCAGTCAGGCTCTGCCAATGGAGATTGATGTGCCTTCATGTTCCTGCCACCACTCCATGTGGCAGACCTGATCTCACATTAGAAACAGCAAGGACATTTTCCGAGAACGATGTCATAGAGATACAGTCTTGCTTATATGAGGTCTTTAAGTGGACACTGCTATTAAAATGACACCTAGTCTGGTGCGGTTTTGTTCATCAGTAAGTATCTCCTTTAACAGCTGGATTTTCACTTACGGTTGTGCAGGGGAGAGATAATAAATGGCAATAGCTTTTCATTGTCTAATAAGAGGGGATCTGTTATATTATTTGTTTTCCTGAGTTAGCTGAGACTAAGAAAGTAAGTAATGTTTTGCTTTTTTTTAAAGCTCTTTAGGAATCTCTTCTGGCAGAGCACCTTTCTACTGAATAAACTCTTTTTGTACCTCCTAATAACTGACATTTATAAAGAAGTTCATGTGCAAGTTCTAATAAAGGCAAATTTGGAAGGTTCCTCACTAAGAGCTGCCATCATCTTTTCTGAGGCTGCTAGCATCTCTGCAATATGCTCCCTTATTCATTACAGTTTGAAGAGATTACTTTCATAAGTTTATGGCCTCTATATTGGGGACCGCAGCTTTGCTCTGTACGGTGTAATTTGAGTGCCCTCTGCTGTCTGCAATAAAAAATCCACAGCAAATAAGCAGCACAAGATGTCTGTCCTAGGTTTTATATTTTCCTTAAGCTAGTTGTGGACCTATGTCTGACAAATCTTTCCATCAAACACGCTTTGATATTAAACATACCTTTCCTTTCTCCCTTGTGTGTGTGTGTTTGGTTACAAGTTGTATGTTTGTTGTAGGTGGATATCTTCTGGTGTGTTCTCCCTCCATTTTGCGGATGTTTTTATTTGGCAAGGAGAGGGGGAAGGCATATTTTAAAAACTCTTTTATGTTTCTTTCTCATGTTTCTTATTTGTTGTTGTCTTTGAGCCATATGCAGCATGATGGCATGTTGATGTTTTTGATACTCTTACAAATATTACCTAGCGGCTAGTGTTGATGTTGGAGAGGCAGCAGTGTGGGATGTGGTTCCCAAACTGGCACCCGCAAGGCCAGTGAAATGGGTCACAGCTGTTCTGTAAAGCCACATGAGGCAATGAAGTGAATGGTGCCTTCAGGCCAAGAGTGATGCTGTGGACATGTGGTATTTTGGGAGAGCTGCTGAGGGTTGTCCATGAGCCTCCAGTCTAGAAATATGTGTGTGCCACTGACATACCACTGCTTATCTGGCTTACGTTTGGGTTACTTCTGGTAATGAGATTTGCCCAAATACAAATGCAGGAGAATGCTGCTGCCACTTTTGTGTACACAGAACACAACTGCAGGACCATTTGGTGGGTATGTAGCTTTCCTGATATTGTGGTCTGGACCCTTTCCAGGGGGCTCTCAGCCTCTGAGGGAGTTGAACTTGCCCAGCAAAAGGAAGGATTGAGGATCAGAGCTTAGGGCATCAACTACAAGCTATAATGGAAGATTGCAGATGTTACTTAAATTACAGAGATAGCTGAAGATGTACTGGGGTCAGAAATATCTGCAGAGACTGTTTCCTCTGTAAGCCAGCTCTGAACAGAAGACATACAGACGTTGCATGTAACATTGTCTTTGACTGAGGTGTCAGTGCACATAGTCAGTGTCTGGATGTTACTGAAGCAGGAACATTCACTCGGTTCATTTTTTTTCTTTGCAGTGTCGTTACAACCCTTGCTTTCCTGGAGTGCGATGTGTCAACACAGCTCCAGGTTTCCGATGCGAAACCTGTCCCCCGGGATATACAGGGCAAACTGTGCAAGGGATAGGAATCAACTACGCGAAGAGCAATAAGCAGGTGAGTGGCAGCATTGCTGCAGGAACCGCCATTGCAAGTGCTGGTTTATATGGATGCATCTGTATTGTGTTTTATTTCAATTAGAAGATCCAAGTTGTGTTTTCTTGGCTTTAACGGGAGTATTAACAGTCTAAGACTCAGGACTGGTATGGAGACAAGAAAAAATGTCATCTTCATAGGTATCTCTGATCAGTTTTAAAGGGGGGTCTGCTAATTTTTGTGAACTGGCTTTGAACTAGTAAGAATATGATAGAAAACACCTATTCTACTGTCATTTTTCGCATGTTCCTGTAGCACCCTACAAGGGGAACATGGTTATTGTCTAAACTCTTGTGGGTGAACCAGAAACCCATCCTAAGGTTGAAATTTTCTGTATCACAGTGTCTCTTCAGACTTTTATGTGTCTGGATATACATTGGAAAGCTAGCCTATGGGTATGTCTGTGCCATTCGGAGACTAGTTTCAGGAGTGGCTATGACTATTTTCTAGGCTTAGTGGCTTTTCTTCAGACTTGGATCTCAAACTGATGTTTTTATTACATGTTGATTTGTTTTATTGCTAGGTCTGCTTAGATATTGATGAATGTCAGAATGGCGGACTTGGACTCTGCGTTCCAAATTCCCATTGCATAAACACTTTGGTAAGAACCCTTTCATTTGTGGCTTTAAAAAATTGATTGTTTTAAAATTCCATGAGGCTAGAATTGGATTTATGGCTCTGATTGAAGAGCTGAATAATATAATTTTTTGTTGGCTTCATCTAAACCAAAGAATCCTTTCCTCTTTTCCTGACTGATAATAAAAAAATCAATATTTTATTTGTCATTTACATGTACATCTGAGCTATATTCTTATAATTTTCCTTGAGGAACGGCAGGAACTCTTCTCTCCATGCCATCCAGTTATGTGTGTTATTGCAAGGAACCCCCTTTGAAAGATTAAACCTTTGCTTCCCCTCATCTCTTCCCACCTGGGAACTGCTGCAGCAAGATGTTCCCCTGGGTGCTCTTTTTGTAGGAGTAATGTCTTCACTTCATTAGGGTATTTATACAGTACTAGATATCCTTCTAAATTAGTACAGAGAGGAGGAGAGCTGTATCTGATACAACACTACCTATAGATCCAGGAGAGGAAGCATAGCAGAAGTAGAAATGGTTTGAAAGATGTTAGGATCCAATAGAAGGGGCATACAACCATTTTAATGCTATGAAGCAAGTTGCACCTTTCACTTAGAATCACAGAATCATTTAGGTTGGAAAAGACCATTAAGATCATCAAGTCCAACTGTTTACCCAACACCATCAAGTCCACCACTAAACCGTATTGCTAAGCACCATGTCTACATGTCTTTTAAATACTTCCAGGGATGATGACTCAGCCTCCTACCTGGGCAGCCTGTTCCAATACTTGACAACCCTTTCCATGAAGAAATTTTTCCTAGTATGCAATCTAAACCTCCCCTGGGTCAACTTGAGGCCATTTCTCTCATCCTGTCACTTGCTACTTGGGAAAAGAGCCTGACACCCACCTTGCTACAGCCTCCTTTCAGGTAGTTGTAGAGAGCAATAGTGTCCCCTTAGCCTTCTCTTCTCCAGGCTAAACAACCCTTAGCTGCTCCTCATCACACTTGTTCTCTAGAGCCTTCACCAGGCTTCATTGCTCTTCTCTGGACACGCTCCAGCAACTCCATGTCCTTCTTGTAGTGAGGGGCCCAAAACTGAACACTCTCATTCGAGGTGTGGCCTCACCAGTGCCAAGTACAGGGCAACGATCACTTCCCTACTCCTGCTGGCCACACTAGTTCTGATACAGGCCAGGACGCTGTTGGCCTTCTTGGCCACCTGGGTACACTGCTGG